AGAAAAAATGGATGTATGTGTATGTATGTGTGTGCGTGTGCGTGTATGTATGTATGTGCGGATACAAATTTTCGTCGACGATTTCGGGAACCAACCGATTTGAATAATTCAAAAAACATTCGATTTGTATTGATAAGGAGACTTGCTGATTAGTTTTTGGCGAAGGCAGGTCCAGCAGTTCCGAAGATACGGGGCAAAAAGTGCCGAAAACGGTAACACAGTTTTTAAGAGAGTGGGGCGTCCGATTTGAATAATTCAAAAAACATTTTATTTGTATAGATTTAATGAAGAATTGTTCAAATTTTTGCAAAGACAGGTCCAACGACTTTGGAAATATGGAGGAAAAAGTAAAAAAATGACCCATTTGGCGGTCAAAAATGAACATTAGACATATGCACATCAAATTATCAGATATTTTATAGAGTTTTTAACAATAAGTATAAATTTTGTTTACATTCCTATGGGTTCCGTACCAATGTTTACGCGTTAGAGGGCGACGCGGTGCTTCGCGCTTTGATATTTTGTCTTTATGCAGTTAAAACAGTACGATTGCTTTGAAAAAAAGTTCTGAATTACCAAAATATTTCAAAATAAATGATTTAAGATAGAATGATTTAGTATGGTTCGAAATTCTATTAAAAGTTTCAAATATTGATCAACTTTTATTGATTATTTTTAATTACTCGAATTTTGAATTGCGGTACGGAAGTTCCAGCAATTTGCCTTAAGGCACGATGCCCTAATTGCCTTAAGACAGAATTCCACTTACGGCTAGTTTCACTTACTCATGAGTGTGCCTAATTTACTTGTTGACCATTTTAAGACTGGTGTAAAAATTACTATAAAAAAGTCTGAGAATTGTCTCTATAGTATCGAACTTTAGAATGACTTGAAACGTTTAGAAAACATGAAATTAGCAAGTCAGAATTTCTAGCGTAAACATAAACTTTTCCGTCGGTAAAATGAAAGTGATCAAATAATAACCTAAAAATAATCAAATAAAAATGATAATAGAAGCTAGTTAATAATGATGCATCTGACATCTAATATTTGATATGATCGGCTGAAAATGATTAGTTTTATCTTGGATTATTAATATTTGTATATCAAAATTTCATTTTAATAAAACCAATATAGAGTATCAACCTGAAAAATGACTATGAAGCCCG